AAACGGAGGAAGCGGAAGCGGTTCTGAGGGTCCGAATCGAAGCGGAACGGAACCGAATCTGAACCCATGGAGCGGCTGTGCGAACTGCGGGCGATGCTGAAGGGCTGGGAGGTGGTTTTCGAACGGGAGAAACGGCCGGAGACCGGGAAAGGTGAGGGGGGGAACGGGGGGGGGGGGGTCTGAGGGGCCTCACAGGGCCTCTGGGGGGGGGGGGGGGCTCACAGGGCCTCTGGGGGGGTTCTGCCCCAACGGGCTTTTTTTGGGTGATGTTTGGGGTATTTCTGCCTCGAAATGACATCGTTTTGTGATCTTTGGGGTATTTCTGCCCCGAAATAGGGCTGTTCATGGTGCTTTCTGGGGTCTTTCTGCCCTAAGATGGCCTTTATTGGTGCTTATGGGGTCTTTCTGCCCCCAAAATGGACTTTTTTGCTGCTTTTGGGTTTTTCTGTGCAAAATTGGCCTTTTTTGGTGATTTTGGATTATTTCTGCCTCCAAGATGGGCCTTTCTTGGTGCTTTTTGGGGTCTTTCTGCCCCCAGATGGCCTTTATTGATGCTTATGGGGTGTTTCTGCCCCCAAAATGGCTTTTTTTGGTGCTTTTTGGGATATTTTTGCCCCAGAATTGCCTTTTTTTGTTCTTCTGGGGTATTTCTAATCCCAAAATGGGCATTTTTTTTGCTTTTTGGGGTGTTTCTGTCCCAGAAGGGTCTCTTCAAAGGCAGATGTACTCTAAAAGTGCCACATTTGAGGCTGTTATGCCCCCAAAATTGGCTTTTTTTTGGTGTTTTTTGTGGTATGTCTGCCCCAAATGGGTCTTTTTTGGTGCTTTTTGAGGTCTTTCTGCCCCCACATGGCCTTTATTGATGCTTATGGGGTCTTTCTGCCCCTAAAATGGCCTTTATTGATGCTTATGGGGTCTTTCTGCCCCCAAAAAGGCCTTTTTTGGTGCTTTTTGGGATATTTTTGCCCCAGAATTGCCTTTTTTTGTTCTTCTGGGGTATTTCTAATCCCCAAATGGGCATTTTTGGTGCTTGTTGGGGTGTTTCTGTCCTAGAAGGGTCTCTTCAAAGGCAGATGTACCCTAAAAGTGCCACATTTGAGGCTGTTATGCCCCCAAAATTGGCTTTTTTTGGGTGCTTTTTGGGGTATTTCTATCCCAAAATGGCCTTTTCTGGTGCTTTTTGGGGTCTTTCTGCCCCGAGATGGCTATTAATGGTGCTTTTTGGGGTATTTCTGACCCCAGGTGGGTCTTTTTGGGTGATTTTGGAGTATTTCTACCCCTAAAATGGCCTTTTTTGCTGCTTTTGGGGTTTTTCTATGCTAAATTGGCCTTTTTTGGTGATTGCTGGGATCTTTCTGCCCCCAAGATGGCCTTTTTTGCTGCTTATGGGGTATTTTTGTGCCAAAAGGGCTTCTTCAGGGACAGATGTACCCCAAAAGTGCCTTTTTTGGGGCTGTTCTGCCCCTAAAAGAGCCTTTTTTGGTGCTTTTTGGGGTATTTCTGCCTCAAAATGGCCTTTCTGAGGGCATTTCTGTCCCCTCAGGGCCCCTTTGGGGGCGTTTTGCTCAAAATATGGCCTTTATTGGTGCTTTTTGGCCTCTTTCTGCCCCCAGAGCTTCTCTTTAAGTGCAGATGTACCCCAAAAGTGCCTCTTTGGGGCCTGTTTTGCTCCCAAAAAGCCTTTTCTGGTGCTTGTGGGTGGGTTTCTATCCCTAAATTCCTTGCTTTCCATCCTAAAAGTGCCTCGTTTGGTGCCTCTCAGGGCATTTCCACCCCCAAAATGTCCTTTTTTGTGCTTTTGGGGGGCGTTTCTGCCCCATAAGTGCCTCTTCTGGCACCTTCCTGCCCCAGATTGGCCTTTCTTGGTGGTTTTTTGTGGCTGTTGTGCCATTTTTTCTGCAGTCCCACCCCCAAAATCGCCTCTTTTTCTGCCTTTCCACCCAAACGAACGCTCTGCTCTGTTTCCCCTCGCAGGCCGACGTGGCGGCGGCTTCAGAGGACACCAAACGTGAGCGTGGCGCTGCGGGGCCTCCTTATCCCTCATTCCCCTTAATTAATTACCTCCTAATCACCCAAATTAATTACCACGGCCCTGCCTTGCTCCTCTCGCAGGGCTGTACCGGGAGTACCGGGAGCTGAAGCAGCGCTCGGAGCTCACAGAGCAGAGCCCTGCGGCACAGCAGGTACCAACGCTGAGGGCTCACAAGGGGAAGGGCCGTCCCTGTGGCTACCTGCAGCCAGATCCTGCTGGCCCACCGCCCCCCCATGATGGCCCAAGGCCCCCCCTTGATGGCCCAAGGCCCCCCCTTGATGGCCCAAGGCCCCCCCTTGATGGCCCAAGGCCCCCCCTTGATGGCCCACGGCTCCGTTTGGTGGCCCAAGCCCCCCCCCCCTTGGTGGCCCAAGCCCCCCCCCCCCTTGGTGGCCCAAGCCCCCCCCCCTTGGTGGCCCAAGCCCCCCCCCCCTTTGGTGTCCCAAGCCCCCCCCTTTGGTGTCCCAAGCCCCCCCCTTGATGGCCCAAGCCCCCCCCCTTGGTGGCCCAAGCCCCCCCCCTTGGTGGCCCAAGCCCCCCCCCTTGGTGGCCCAAGCCCCCCCCCTTGGTGGCCCAAGGCCCCCCCTTTGATGGCCCAAGCCCCCCCCTTTGATGGCCCAGTGCCCCCCCTTTGGTGGCCCAAGCCCCCCCCTTGGTGGCCCAAGCCCCCCCCTTGGTGGCCCAAGCCCCCCCCTTGGTGGCCCAAGCCCCCCCCCTTGGTGGCCCAAGCCCCCCCTTTGATGGCCCAAGGCCCCCTTGGTGGCCCGTGACCAATTCTTGGTGGCCCTCCCTCACGGTGACCTGTGGCCCCTCTCCATGCTGGCGCTCGGTGGCCGACTCACGGCACCTTGTAGCCCCTCCATCATGGCGGCCTGCAGCCCAACTCGCGGTGGCCCGTGACCCAACTCAGTGCCCCCAGCTCTTGGTGGCCCACCCCCAACTTATGGAGGTCACCTCTCTTGGTGGCCCACCCCCAACTCTTGGTGGCCCCCATCATGGCAGCCCACCCCCAAATCATGGCCACCAACTCATGGCCACCCTTGGTTGCCCACTCCCAACTCACGCTGGCCATTTCCTGATTGCCCACCCCCATTTTGGCAGCCCTCATCCAAATCATGGCCAATTCTTGGTTGCCCACCCCCCAAATCATGGCCACCAACTCGTGGCCTCCTCTTGGTTGCCCACCCCCAACTCTTGGTTGCCCACCCCCAACTCTTGGTTGCCCACCCCCAACTCTTGGTGGCCCCATCATGGCAGCCCACCCCCCAAATCATGGCCACCAACTCACAGTGGCCACCTCTTGGTTGCCCACCCCCAACTCTTGGTGGCCACTTCTTGGTTTCCCACCCCCAATTCTTGGCAGCCAACTCTTGGTTGCCCACCCCCAACTCTTGGTTGCCCACCCCCAACTCTTGGTTGCCCACCCCCAACTCTTGGTTGCCCACCCCCAACTTTTGGTGGCCCCATCATGGCAGCCCACCCCCAAATCATGGCCACGACTCCTGGTTGCCCCCTCTTGGTTGCCCACCCCCAACTCATGGCCACCAACTCATGGCTGCCAACTCTTGGTTGCCCACTCCCAACTCTTGGTGGCCACTTCTTGGTGGCCCACCCCCAACTCTTGGTTGCCCACCCCCAGTTCTTGGTGGCCACTTCTTGGTTGCCCACCCCCAGTTCTTGGTGGCCACTTCTTGGTGGCCCACCCCTGACTCTTGGTGCCCCACCCCCACCTCTTGGTGGCCCACTCCCACCTCTTGGTGGCCCCCTCTTGGCAGCCCACCCTCAAATCATGGCCACCAACTCATGGCCACCTCTTGGTGGCCCACCCCCAACTCTTGGTGGCCCACCCCCAACTCTTGGTGGCCCACCCCCAACTCTTGGTGGCCCACCCCCAACTCTTGGTTGCCCACCCCCAACTCTTGGTTGCCCACCCCCAACTCTTGGTTGCCCACCCCCAACTCTTGGTGGCCCCATCATGGCAGCCCACCCCCAAATCATGGCCACAACTCCTGGTTGCCCCCTCTTGGTTGCCCACCCCCAACTCATGGCCACCAACTCATGGCTGCCAACTCTTGGTTGCCCACCCCCGACTCTTGGTTGCCCACCCCCGACTTTTGGTTGCCCACCCCCAACTCCTGGTTGCCCACCCCCACCTCTTGGTGGCCCCCTCTTGGCAGCCCACCCCCAAATCATGGCCATCAACTCATGGCTGCCTACTCTTGGTTGCCCACCCCCAGTTCTTGGTGGCCACTTCTTGGTGGCCCACCCCCGACTCTTGGTTGCCCACCCCCAACTCTTGGTTGCCCACCCCCCCGTCCTGCTGCCCCCCTTGCCGCCCTCCCCCTCCCCACGTTGTGTCCCCATCTCAGGACTCGGGCTGCTGGGGGTCGCACCTGAACCGGCAGCCGAAGCTCCCCGGGATGCGGCAGCAACCAGCAGCAGCAGCAGCATCGGCGCAGCTCTACGGGATGAGGCTGAAGGCCAACCTGGGCACGGCCATACAGGTGTGGGGCTGTGGGGTGGGCATGGCCCTATAGATGTGGGGCTGTGGGGTGGGCATGGCCCTATAGATGTGGGGCTCTGGGGTGGGCACAAGCCCTATAGATTTGAGGCTGTGGGGTGGGTGAAGCTCTACTAGTGTGGGGCTGTGGGGTGGGCGCAGCCCTATAGATGTGGGGCTGTGGGGTGGGCGCAGCCCTATAGATGTGGGGCTGTGGGGTGGGCATGGCCCTACAGATGTGGGGTGGGCGCAGCCCTATAGATGTGAGGCTGTGGTGTGGGCGCAGCCCTACAGGTGTGGGGCTGTGGGGTTGGGCACAACCCTACAGGTGTGGGGCTGTGGGGTGGGCGCAGCCCTACAGGTGTGGGGCTGTGGGGTGGGCGCAGCCCTACAGGTGTGGGGCTGTGGGGTTGGGCACAACCCTATAGGTATGGGGCTGTGGGGTGGGCATGGCCCTACAGATGTGGGGTGGGCGCAGCCCTATGGGTGTGGGGCTGTGGGGTGGGCATGGCCCTACTGGTGTGGGGCTGTGGGGTTGGGCATGTCCCTATAGATTTGGGGCTGTGGGTTGGGTGCAGCCCTACAGATGTGGGGCTGTGGGGTGTGCAGGGGAAGCTGTTCCTCCAGCAGAGGGACGCGTTGCTCCAGAAGCGTGGAGCCGGGGGGGGGGGGGGGGGGGGGGGGGGGGGCTGCGATTTACCCTTCAGGAAACCCCGCAGAGCCTGGCAGCTGTCGGACGGTTTGAGGTGAAACCGAGGCCTTTTGGGGCTGCGGAGGCTGACGCGGGGCATCGCCCCCGTTCCTCTCTGCCCGTCCTCAGGAGGAGGCGCCGTCGGCGGTGAAGAGGAGCCTGGACTGCAGGAGGAAAATCGCGGCTCCACGGCGCCGCGCCGCCTCCCCGAGCACCGATGGCGACGACGAATCGGCCCCAGGCCTCCCCGAATCGGCCCCAGGCCTCCCCGAATCGGCCCCAGGCCTCCCCTGCGCCCTGCGCCGCCTGGCCCCCGTCGTCCTGAATGCAGCCTCGAAGCCTCGACCGCAGGCGGATCGATTCCGGAAGCTGAAGGAAATGGTGGCGCGGAGATTGGGGTCGCTGGATCCAGGGTGGCTGCGGCGCTGCCAGGGGACGGAGGGATGTGGGGTGGGGAGGGATGGGTGCCAAGAGGGGCTGCGTGGGTGCTGGGAGGGGGGAATGGGGGCTGTGGGACCCCAAATGGGGGCGCTGGGACAGGAAGAGGGGATGAGACCTGGAGGGAGGGCAGCAGGAGGGGAAGAGGGGTCAAAAGGACCCCAAATGGGGGCGTCAGGATGGGAAGAGGGGTCAAAAGGACCCCAAATGGGGGCGTCAGGATGGGAGGAGGAGACAAGACCTGGAGTGAGGGGACCAGGGCCCAACATGGGGACGCCAGGATGGGGAGAGGGGACACTGGGACCTGAAATTGGGACACCTGGACACAAAGAGGGGACAAGACCTGGAGTGAGGACAGCAGGACAGGAAGAGGGGTCACCAGGACCCAAAATGGGGGCGTCAGGATGGGAAGAGGGGACAAGACCTGGAGTGAGGGGACCAGGACCCCAAATGGGGACGCCAGGATGGGAGGAGGGGACAAGACCTGGAGTGAGGGGACCAGGGCCCAAAATGGGGACGCTGAGACCCCAAATGGGGACACTGGGACCTGAAATTGGGACAGCAGGACAGGAAGAGGGGACAAGACTTGGAGTGAGGACAGCAGGACAGGAAGAGGAGTCGCCAGGACCCAAAATGGGGGCGTCAGGATGGGAAGAGGGGACACTGGGACCTGATATTGGGACACCTGGACACAAAGAGGGGACAAGACCTGGAGTGAGGACAGCAGGACAGGAAGAGGGGTCACCAGGACCCAAAATGGGGGCGTCAGGATGGGAAGAGGGGACAAGACCTGGAGTGAGGGGACCAGGACCCCAAATGGGGACGCCAGGATGGGAGGAGGGGACACTGAGACCCCAAATGGGGACACTGGGACCTGAAATTGGGGCACCTGGACGCAAAGAGGGGACAAGATCTGGAGTGAGGACAGCAGGACAGGAAGAGGGATCATTAGGACCCCAAATGGGGGCGTCAGGATGGGAAGAGGGGGCACTAGGACCTGAAATTGGGACACTGGGACCTGAAATTGGGACACCTGGACGCAAAGAGGGGACAGAACCTGGAGTGAGGGGACCAGGACCCCAAATGGGGACGCTGAGACCCCAAATGGGGACACTGGGACCTGAAACTGGGACATTGAGACCTGACAAGGGGACGAGACCTGGAGTGAGGACGGCAGGACAGGAGGAGGGGACACTGAGACTAAAATTGGGGACAGCAGGACCTGAAATGGGCGCAATGGGGCGCGAAGGGGGGACAAAACTTGGAGTGAAGGCGCAAAGACTTGAAGGAGAGGCACTGGGACCCAAAGTGGGGACAGCAGGACACGAAGAGGAGACGCAGGGACCTGTGATGGGGAGGCTGGGACTTGAAGAGGGGACGTGGGGACGGGAGGAGGGGACAGGAGCTGGGGTGAGGGCAGGGAGGTTGAAATGGGGGACGCTGGAATCTAAACTGGGGAAGCCAGAGCGTGAAGAGGGACCTGGAATGGGGACGCTGGAATGTGAAGAGGGGACGCTAAGGAGGGACCTGGGGACACCGGGAGGTGAAGAGGGGACACCGGGACCCGAAATGGGATCACGGAGACCCGGAAGGGGGACAGCGAGACGTGAAGAGTTGGGATGGGAACAGGGGGTGCTGGAAGTGGGGACAGCGGGACGCAAAAGGGTGGCAGCGAGGCGGAAGAGGGGGACATCAGGGCACGAAGAGGGGACAAAAGGACCCGGAACGGGGACAGCGGGACGCGAAAAGGGGACGCCAGGACGCGATGAAAAGGCAGCAGGGCCTGAAGAGGAGGCGGCGGCACCCACAGCGGCGTCTCGGGGTCGGAAAAGGGGAACACAGTGTGAAAGGAGGCCGTCGAGATGCGGAGAGGAGGCGGTGGGGCCGGAAGAAGAGATGCCAGGAGATGAGAAAGGGACAGCGGGACCCAAAGGTGATGCAGGACGGCGGCGCGGCCGCGTGCCGAAGGATGGAGCTGCAGCCAAGCCCAGAGCTGCCCGCAGGAAGAGGCCGGGCCCAGGGGATGGCGAAGAAGAACCCGCAGCTGCACCAAAGCTGAGGAGAAGGGCGCCGCCTCCATCCGAAAACCTTCTGGGTGACTTTGAGGAGGAGAAGCCCGGGGCGGTCGGCAAAGCGCTGCCTGCCAGGTGGGTGCCCTCCAAAACGGCTCCGTTTGCTGCTTCGGGCCCCAGGAATCACGCGGTAACGAGGGCAGATGAGCGCGGAGCCGTTCCTGCCCAGCTCTGTGCCGCTCTTCCTTTGCCCGTTCCCCACTTGTGGGATTTTCCTTCCTTCTGGAAGCTCTCCATGGGTTTTTCGCTCCGTTTCCTCCCACGTTTCCAGCTTTCCTGCGTTCCCCAAAGCGCCGCTTGCCTTCGGTCGGCCTTCAGGAACAAGAACGAAGTGGGGGATTTTCCCCGTGTGCTGCTCCGCAGCCATTCTCCCATCTGCAGAGCACAGAGCACAGCAAATCGTGTCGCTTCTCCCCGTGCCTCGTGCTCCGCCTGCTCTTTTCTAGCGTTCCCCCCCTTGCTGCCCCATTACAGAACCATAGGGGTTGGAAGGGGCCTGCAGAGATCATCCAGTCCAACCCCCCCCCCCCCCCAGCCGGTTCCCTACAGCAGCCCCATCGCAGGGGCTCCCGCTGTCGCGGTGCCCAAAGGACCTCTGGGGATTTGTGATGTTCCTGACCCCATCCTGACGGCTTCTTGGTTTCCCGCAGGGCTCCTCGGCGACCCCAGGGCAACTTTGTGAGGCTCAACCTGAAGAGCAGATCCCACGTGCGGGGCGCCGCGCTGCGGGGAAGGCAGCTCCGCAAGCAGGTAGGGGAGCGGGGCGGGCGGCCGGCGGCAACCCGGGGAGGAGGGGAGGAAAAGGGGCTGAAACAAGGCTGAAACAAGGCTGAAACGGCGTGAAATGGGCCGCAGGTGTGGAAGGAGAAGTGGCAGAAGAAGGCGGCGTGGTTCGGAGGCGGCGGAGCCGTGGATCGCAGCTCGGATGTTTGCTTCAAGTGCGGCGCGGCCGGGCACTGGGCAGCGCAGTGCAGGGGGCCAGGTGAGCGGCGCCGGGAGCTCAGCAGCTTCTGTCTCGTGGAATCACAGGGGTTGGAAGGGATCTCTAGAGATCATGGAGTCCAACCCCGAGCCAAAGCGGTTCCTACAGCACAGGTCGGCATCCAGGCGGGTCTTGAACGTCTCCAGAGCAGGAGACTCCAGCACCTCCCTGTGCCAGCGCTGCGTCACCTCAGAATCATAGATGAGCGAGGTTGGAAATGACCTGCAGGATCATCCAGTCCAACCCCCTCCCATTCCTATCAGTGCCACAAGCTGCTGAGCCTCATCTCGTAGCTCCTCATCCAGGTGCCTCTGGAGCACGGCCAGGGACGGCGACTCCACCACCCCCCTGGGCAGCCATTGCAGGGCCTGGCCGCCCTCTGAGAGAAACAGTTCTTCCTCATGTCCAACCTGAACCTCCTCTGGTACAACTTCTGGCCGTTTCCTCGGGTCCTACTGATTGCCTGGGAGGAGGGGCCAGACCCTTTTTCATCACAGCCTCCCTTCAGGCAGTTGTACAGTGCAATGAGGTCTCCCCAGGGGCTCCTCTTCTCCAGGCTGAACATTCCCAGCTCCTTCAGCCTCTCCTCATCAGCCCTGTGCTCCAGGCCCCTCACCATTTCGCTGCCCTCCTTTGAACACGTTCCAGGCCCTCAACGTCTTTCCTGCAGTGAGGAGCCCAAAACTGAACACAGCACTCGAGGTGCAGCCTCACCAGAGCTGAATACAGGGGGATGCTCACCTCCCTGCTCCTGCTGGCCATTTCTGATGCAGGCCAGGATGCCGTGGGCCCTCCTGGCCACCTGGGCACACTGTGGGCTCCTGCTCAGCCCAGCACCAACCAACACCCCCAGCTCCCTTTCCTCTTCACACTCATCCAACCACTCATCCCCCAGCCTGCAGCGCTGCATGGGGTTGTTGTGCCCAAAAGCAGGACCCGACGCTTGGCCTCGTTCAACCTCATCCCATTCACCTCGGCCCGGCCATCCAGCTGATCCAGATCCCTGTGCAGGGCCTCAGGCAGATCCACCCCACCTCCCGGCTTGGTGCCATCTGCACGCTCGCTCAGGGTGCCCTCAATGCCTTCATCTCAGTCATCAATGAAGACATGAAACAGGATGGGCCCAGCACCGACCCCCGGGGGACACCACTGGAAACAGCTCTGCAGCTGGACTTCGCTCCATTGACCACCATGGAGCACGGCCCTCAGCCAGCTCCTTATCCAGCAGAGGGTAAAACTGCCCCGGCCACGGGCAGCCAGTTTCTGCAGCAGGATACTGAGAGATGATGATAAGTTCTTGCTCACATTGCTGCAGAACTTCCTCTGCTGCAGCTCCTGTTTCCCTTTGCCCTGTCTCCACTCGCCGCTGAACAGAGCCTGGCCTCCCCACCACGGCCCCCACACCTCAGCTATTCATAAACCTGCATCAGGTCCCCTCTCGGCCTCCTTTTCTCCTCGTGCTCCTGTTGGAAACATCCAAACAATTTCCTAGGGCCGTTTCTTTGATAAAACAGATTTGATTTGCAGTTGCGGCGACGGCCTGCAAGCAGCAGAGCCCCGGGGACGCAGTGCTCCATCTTTGATCCCCCGTTGCCCAGCGTTGATCTCCTCCTCCCCCGGTTCCTCCTCTGCTGAGCACTGCAGCTTCAAACCCTGCCACGACCAACGGCACAACCACCAGGCAGGCACAAATCGTTGCCACCCAAACGTCTTAATTGCTTAATTGACTTCCAGCAATCGCTTCCTTAACAGACGTTTGGTCAGAACTTTTCGGATGTCAGTTTTGCAGCGTAAACACGGATGTGGCCTCCATCGTTCCATCACCTCCCTGGCATTCGTGCCCCTCGTTCTGCCTGTTGTGCTGGTCATCCACCTGTCCTTGCGTGGAGATAAGCCAGGAAGGAGGGTGCAGGGACGGAGGGGAGCATTTTGGAGCCTGCCTGCAGCATCCTAACATTGCCACAGAGTGGAACAGTTCTGCTCAACCCTGCAGTGCATTTCCTAGCTAAGAATGCTGCACCCACGTTGCTTAGAACGTTCCAAGCCTATTGCAGCTTTGTCAGAAGGTGTTTGTTAGCTCATTCGGTAACTGTTTCTAAAATATGTTACTAATATCTGTGTGGTGTTCTTACCGTCCGCATCAGCTGTCGAGCAATTCCTAAGGATGTGTCACAGCTTCGTTCTTTAGATCAGTTGCCCTTTTCAGTGTTCAGTGCAGAAACAACGCTTTCACTTTCCACACTCCGTTGGGTCCATCTGGGCACCACCACCATCGCCTGCTCCTTCTGGGTCCATCTGGTCACCACCATCTTGTGCTCCTTCTGGGTCCATCTGGGCACCACCATCATCTCCTGCTCCTTCTGGGTCCATCTGGTCACCACCATCTTGTGCTCCTTCTGGGTCCATCTGGGCACCACCACCATCGCCTGCTCCTTCTGGGTCCATCTGGTCACCACCACCTTGTGCTCCTTCTGGGTCCATCTGGTCACCACCATCTTGTGCTCCTTCTGGGTCCATCTGGGCACCACCATCTTGTGCTCCTTCTGGGTCCATGTGGTCACCACCATCATCTCCTGCTCCTTCTGGATCAATATGGTCACCACCATCTCCTGCTCCTTCTGGGTCCATCTGGGCACCACCATCTCCTGCTCCTTCTGGGTCCATCTGGGCACCACCATCATCTCCTGCTCCTTCTGGGTCCATGTGGTCACCACCACCTTGTGCTCCTTCTGGGTCCATGTGGTCACCACCACCTTGTGCTCCTTCTGGGTCCATCTGGGCACCACCATCTCCTGCTCCTTCTGGATCCATCTGGGCACCACCACCATCTCCTGCTCCTTCTGGGTCCATGTGGTCACCACCACCTTGTGCTCCTTCTGGGTCCATGTGGTCACCACCACCTTGTGCTCCTTCTGGGTCCTTATGGTCACCACAATCTCCTGCTCCTTCTGGGTCCATGTTTTCACCACCATCCTGTGCTCCTTCTGGGTCCATGTGATCACCACCACCTTGTGCTCCTTCCACCACCACCACCTCTTGCTCCTTCTGCATCCCCCTCCACCTCCTCCTCCTTAAGGTCCGTCTCCCTCTCCTCCTCCCTCCAGGCACGGCTGCCCACGCAGCTCCTCCAGCAGAACCCATCTGTCCCAGCGCTGAAGAAGAAGATGAGGATGAGGATCCCCTGCCTACGCTGGAAGAAGTGGCCCGCCGGACCAACACCATTTACCAGCAGCTCCCTGGTGAGACCCCCGGCCCCGGGAGCCCTCCCTGCTCCCCCACATCCCTCAGGCCGTGCTGATGGCCACCTCCATCCCCAGCATCCAGCAGTGACCAGGACGGAGCCGAGCTCACGGAGCCAACTCCATACCTGGACGTGCAGCGCCCGCCCTACGAGCCCCCCACACCTCCGGCCCCTGTGGAGCCCCTCTACAGCTTGGGGCCGGATGGGAAGCCACGAGGTGAGGCTGCAGCCACGTTTCCACCTCCAATCCCACGTCTCCCCACTCTTAACCCCTCCGTATTCTTCACAGAGACCCCCAGGGAGGTGCTGGACGCGCTCTCCGAGTTGGGCTACAGCTCCTTTCGGCCCGGCCAGGAGGTGGCCATCATGAGGATCCTCTCAGGTGCGTTTTTTTCCCGCTCCGTCCCCCTTGCCGCGTCCCCTCCGTTCCCCCAACCCTCGTCGCCGTCCGCAGGGCTCTCCACGTTGGTCGTGCTCCCCACGGGGATGGGGAAATCGCTGTGCTATCAGCTGCCTGCCTTCCTGTACCACAAACGCTCGCGGAGCATCGCGCTGGTGGTTTCCCCGTTGGTGTCGCTGATGGATGACCAGGTACCTCCGCACTTCCACCCCGCCGCGCCATCGCAACGGGAGGCAGCTCCGTTCTGAAGTGGGAGGAGTCCAACCCCAACCCCACCGCGGCCCCAAATAGAAGCGTAGAATCATTTGGGTTGGAGAAGACCTCCAGGATTGCCAAACCAACCCCACCATGGTCCTAAATAGAATCCACAGGGTTGGAGAAGTCCTCCAAGATCCCCAACCCCACCATGATCCTAAATGGAATCCTTAGGGTTGGAGAAGACCTCCAAAATCCCCAGCTCAACCCCACCATGACCCCATATGGAATCAGTAGGGTTGGAGAAGACCTCCAACATCCCCAGTCGAACCCCACCATGGTCCTAAATAGAATCCTTAGGGTTGGAGAAGACCTCCAAGATTCCCAACCCCACCATGGTCCTAAATAGAATCCTTAGGGTTGGAGAACACCTCCAACATCCCCAGCTCAACCCCACCATGATCCTAAATGGAATCCTTAGGGTTGGAGAAGACCTCCAACATCCCCAGCTCAACCCCACCATGATCCTAAATGGAATCCTTAGGGTTGGAGAAGACCTCCAAGTTCCCCAACCCCACCATGGTCCTAAATAGAATCCATAGGGTTGGAGAAGTCCTCCAAGATCCCCAACCCCACTGTGTTACTAAATAGAAAGACAGAATCCTTATGGTTGGAGAAGATCTCTGAGATCCCCAACTCACCATGACCCTAAATAGAATCCATAGGGTTGGAGAAGACCTCCAAGATCCCCATCTCAACCCTGCCATGACCCTAAATGTCATCAGTAGGCTTGGAGAAGACCTCCAAGATCCCCAATCCAACCCCGCCATCACCCTAAATAGAATCCTTCAGGTTGGACGAGTCCTCCCAGGTCCCCATCATCCCCGCCCCGCTCCCCATTTCCCAAACCCTTCCCAGCACAGCCCCCCCCCCCCCCCCCCCTCATGGAAAGCTCCCCCACATCCCATCATTCCCCTCGCAGGTCTCCGGCCTCCCCCCGTGCCTCCGCGCCGTCTGCGTTCACTCGCACCTGAGCCGCGCGCAGCGGGACGCGGCCCTGCGCCGCGTGCAGGAAGGCTCGGCTCAGGTGCTGCTGCTTTCCCCCGAAGCCCTGGTGGGCGCCGGCTCCTCGGGCTCCTGCTGCCTGCCCCCGGCCCACCAGCTGCCCCCCGTGGCCTTCGCCTGCATCGACGAGGCGCACTGCGTCTCCGAGTGGTCCCACAACTTCCGTCCCAGCTACCTGCGGCTCTGCAAGGTGCGTGAGGCCCTGCCGCGGGGGAGCAGCGTGGGGATGGTCCTCGCCTCCTCCTCCTCTTCTGTCTTCATCGGCTTCCTCCTCACTGTCTTTCTCCTCATCCTCCTCACCATCTTTTTCCTCCTTGTTGCCATCATCCTCCTCTTTTTCTCACCACCATCCTCATCCTCCTCCTCTTCTCACTGCCATCCTCATCCTCCTCCTCACCGCCATCCTCATCCTCCTCCTCTTCTCACCACCATCCTCATCCTCCTCCTCTTCTCACCACCATCCTCATCCTCCTCCTCACCGCCATCCTCATCCTCCTCCTCCTCTTCTCACTGCCATCCTCCTCCTCCTCTTCTCACCGCCATCCTCATCCTCCTCCTCTTCTCACCGCCATCCTCATCCTCCTCCTCCTCTTCTCACCGCCATCCTCCTCCTCTTCTCACTGCCATCCTCATCCTCCTCCTCTTCTCACCACCATCCTCATCCTCCTCCTCACCGCCATCCTCATCCTCCTCCTCCTCCTCTCGGTCTTCCTCCTTGCCTCCTCCTCCTCTCGGTCTTCCTCCTTGCCCTCCTCCTCCTCATCCTCCTCCTCCTCCTCTCGGTCTTCCTCCTTGCCTCCTCCTCCTCATCCTCCTCCTCCTCATCCTCCTCCTCATCCTCCTCCTCCTCATCCTCCTCCTCCTCCTCTCAGTCTTCCTCCTTGCCCTCCTCCTCCTCTCCTCGTCTCATCCTCCTTCTCTTCCTCTCTTTCTCCTCCTCCTCCCTCTCTACTCCTCCTCTCCCTCTCCTCCTCCTCTTGCCGTCTTCTTGCCATCACCCTCCTCCTCCTCTCGCCACCTTCCTGCTCTTCTTGTCCTCCCCCTCCTCCCATCTTCCTCTTCCTCATCCTCCTCTCGCTGCCGTCCCCCCCATCCCCGCTGTCCCATCCTCCCTCAGGTTCTCCGGGACCGTCTGGGCGTCCGCTGTTTCCTGGCTCTGACGGCCACAGCCACGGTGGCGACGGCGCGGGACGTGGCTGCGCAGCTGGGCATCCCGCAGCAGGACGGCATCGCCGTGCGCAGCGCCGCCGTGCCGCACAACCTGCGGCTCTCCGTGTCTGTGGAGCGGGACCGGGACCGGGTGGGGATGGGGGTGGGGTGGGGTGGGTAGGGATAAGGTGGGCATGGGGAACGGGGGAGGATGGGGTGGAAAATGGGGGGGGGATGGGGTGGGGATGGGATGGGGATGGGTGAGTGTGGGCTGGGGGATGGGGGTGGAAAATGGGGGGGGATGGGGTGGGGATGGGGTGGGGATGGAGAACAGGTAGAGATGGGGTGGGGGTGGAAAATGGGGGGGGATGGGGTGGGGATGGGGTGGGAATGGAGAACAGGTAGAGATGGGGTGGGGGTGGAAAATGGGGGGGGATGGGGTGGGGATGAAGAACAGGTAGAGATGGGGTGGGGGTGGAAAATTGGGGGGGGATGGGGTGGGGATGGGATGGGGATGGGGTTGGAATGGGTGAGTGTGAGGTGGGGGATGGGGGTGGAAAATGGGTGGGGATGGGGAACCGGGGGGGGATGGGGGTGGAGAACAGGTAGGGATGGGGTGGGGGTGGAAAATGGGTGGGGATGGCGATGGAATGGGGATGGGGATGGAGAACAGGTAGAGATGGGGTGGGGGTGGAAAATGGGGGGGGATGGGGTGGGGATGGGATGGGGATGGGTGAGTGTGGGATAGGGGATGGCGATGGAAAATGGGTGAGGATGGGATGGGGATGGGGATGGGATGGGGATGGGGTTGGAATGGGTGAGTGTGGGGTGGGGGATGGGGGTGGAAAATGGGTGGGGATGGCGATGGAATGGGGATGGGGATGGAGAACAGGTAGAGATGGGGTGGGGGTGGAAAATGGGGGGGGATGGGGTGGGGATGGGGTGGGGATGGGATGGGGATGGGTGAGTGTGGGATAGGGGATGGCGATGGAAAATGGGTGGGGATGGGATGGGGATGGGGATGGGATGGGGATGGGATTGGAATGGGTGAGTATGGGGTGGGGGATGGGGGTGGAAAATGGGTGGGGATGGGGAATGGGGGGGGGATGGGGGTGGAGAACAGGTAGGGATGGGGAATGGGTGGAAAATGGGTGGGGATGGAGTGGGAATGGGGAATGGGTGGGGATGGAATGGGGAGGAGGTGGGAATGGAGCAGGGGATGGGGGTGGAAAATGGGTAGGGATGGAGAATGGATGGGAATGGAGATGGGGGACGGGCAGGGATAAGGTGGGGGTGGGGAATGGGTGAGGATGGGTGGGGATGGGGGTGGAGAACAGGTAGAGATGGGGTGGGGATGGGGTAGGGATGGGGAATGGAGTGGGGTGGAGTGGGGAGCAGGTGAGGATGGAGAAAGGGATGGGGATGGAAAATGGGAAGGGATGGGGTGGGGATGGGATGGGGGATGGGGAATAGGTAGGGATGGGGATGGGGTGGGGGTGGGGATGGGGAATGGGGAGCAGGTAGGGATGAGGATGGGTGGGGATGGGGGTAGGAATGGGTGAGTATGGGGTAGGGGATGGGGGTGGAAAATGGGTGGGGATGGGAAACGGGTGGGGATGGGGGTGGAGAACGGGTAGGGATGGGGAATGGGTGGGGATGGGGTGGGGGATGGCTGGGACAGGATGGGATCACAGAATCGTAGGGGTTGGAAGGGACCTCTGGAAATCATCGAGTCCAACCTCCGCTGGGAGGGGGACCAGATGGGGTGGGGATGGGAAACAGGATGGGACCGAGATGGAGACAGGGAGCAGGTGGGGACAGGATGGGAGTGGGGAGGGAGACTGGGTGTGGATGCGACAGGGATGGGGAGTGAGTGGAGACTGGGATGGGGAATGGGAAAGGTGGGATGGGGATGATGGGGACAGCGGGGATGGGCACCAGGTAAGGAGGGGATGGGAATGGAGATGGGGACCAGATAGGGATGGGCTGGGATAGGAATGGGGACCAGGTAGGGACAGGATGGGGATGGGGTGCAGGCGGGGACCAGGTGGGAGTAGGGACAGAGATGGGGTGCGGATGGGAAGAGAGACCAGGTAGGGATGGGATGGGGACCGGGTGGGGATGGGAACGGGGATGAGATGGGGACAGGGAAGGCATGTGGATGTATGGGGACAGGGACGGGGTGTGGACTGGGAATGGGGTAGGGACTGGGGAAGGGTAGAGACGGGACGGGGTGGGAACTGGGACAGGGATGGAGTAGGGACTGGGGACAGGCTGTGGATGGGGACAAGGATGGGATTGGGACCAGGGTGGGACTGCGACAGGGATGGGGTGTGGATGGGACTGGATAGGGAGAGGAGTGGAGTGTGGACAGGGACACACAGACACTGGGACGAGGGGGAACCAGGGGAGAACAGAGACCAGGGAGGGACAGGGACAGAGTGTGGAGAGGAAGGGGGATTGGTGGGGGTGGGGATTGGGGTCAGGACGGGATGTGGGCTGAGTGGGGATGGGACGGCGACTAGATTGCGATGGGGATGGATGTGGGGACCAGGAAGGGACGAGGATGGATCTGAGCACCAGAATGGCCGTTGGGAAGGGATGGAGTTGCAGCTGGGATTGGCACAGGGACCGGAGAAGGACGGGGACCAGGTGGGGACGGTGACATCTCTGGGTTCTGGTGTTGGGATCGGGTAGAGAGGGGGACAGCAGTGATTAGGGGTGAGAATTGGGGCTGATCCTACAGCAGATCCTACAAACCTCCCCTCCAAAATCCCACTCTGGTGTGGTGGGAAGGCACAGCCCCATCTTCGTGCCATCGGGTCCCACGCGGAGACCCCCAGAGCGCGCGGATCGACGCCGGGGCTCCGTGCTCAGAGCCCAGGCTGCTTGGGCTGTGTTTTGTAATTAGCTCCTCACCTCGGTGCCCTCATTACCCCGCAGGCTCTCGTTGACCTGCTGCGCAGCGAGCGCTACGCCGCGCTCCAATCCATCATCGTGTACTGCACGCGTCGGGAGGACACGGCCCGCGTCGCCGCGCTGCTCCGCACCTGTCTGCAGGACGAGCTGCTCAGCAGCGCCACGCCAGGTACGGAGCAGGCCTGCAGCAACAGCCGAGCGCCCTGCTGCCCAGGAAGGCCAACGGTGGCCAAGAGGCTCCCTGTGAGTCTCTATGGTGTGTTTTGGTGGCCAAGAAGGCCAGTGGTGGCCAACAGGTTGGCTGTGAGTCTGTATGGTGTGTTTTGGTGCCCAAGAAGGCCAGTGGTGGCCAAGAGGTTGGCTGTGAGTCCTCAAGAAGCCCAATGGTGGCCAACAATGTGCCCAGGAAGGCCAACGGTGGACAGGAGGTTCCCTGTGAGTCTCTATGGTGTGTTTTGGTGGCCAAGAAGGTCAAAGGTGGCCAACAGGTTGGCTGTGAGTCCCCCAGAAGCTCAATGATGGCCAACAATGTGCCCAGGTGGCCAAGAAGGCCAACGGTGTCCAAGAGGTTGGCTGTCAGTCAGTAGTGTCCATTCCCAGACCCCAAGAAGGCCAACTGTGGCCAACAGTGTTCCCTGGTGGCCAAGAAGTCCAATATTGGCCAAGAGGTTCCCTGTGAGTCTCTATGGTGTGTTTTGGTGGCCAGTAGTGGCCAGGAGTTTCACTGAGTCTCTATGGTGTGTTTTGGTGGCCAAGAAGGCCAACGGTGGCCAACAGGTTGGCTGTGAGTCCCCAAGAAGCCCAATGGTGGCCAACAGTGTTCCCTGGTGGCCAAGAAGTCCAGTATTGGCCAAGAGGCTCCCTGTGAGTCTCTATGGTGTGTTTTGGTGGCCAAGATGACCAACGGTGTCCAAGAGGTTGGCTGTCAGTCAGTAGTGTCCCTTCCCAGACCCCAAGAAGACCAATGGTGGCCAACAGTGTTCCCTGGTGGCCAAGAGGTTCCCTGTGAGTCTCTACGGTGTGTTGTGGTGGCCAAGAAGGCCAACGGTGTCCAAGAGGTTCCCAGTGAGCCACTGGTCTCCCTTCCCTCTCCCTAAGAAGGCCAACAGTGAACCCAGGTGGCCAAGAGGCTCCCTGTGAGTCTCTATGATGTGTTTTGATGGCCAAGATGGCTGGCAGTGGCCAAGTGTTTGTGAGTCAGTAGTGTCCCTTCTCAATCTCTAAGAAGGACGATGGTGGCCAACAGTGTTCCCTGGTGGCCAAGAAGTCCAATATTGGCCAAGAGGTTCCCTGTGAGTCTCTATGGTGTGTTTTGGTGCCCAGGAAGGCCAACAGTGGCCAAGAGGCTCCCTGTGAGTCTCTATTGAGTGTTTTGGTGGCCAAGAAGGCCAACGGTGGCCAAGAGGTTGGCTGTGAGTCAGTAGTGTCCCTTCCCAGACCCCAAGAAGACCAACGGTGGCCAACAATGTTCCCTGGTGGCCAAGAAGGCCAACAGTGGCCAAGAGGTTCCCTGTGAGTCTCCATGGTGTGTTTTGGTGGACAAGAAGGCCAAGGGTGGCCAACAGGTTGGCTGTGAGTCCCCCAGAAGCCCAATGGTGGCCAACAATGTGCCCAGGTGGCCAAGAAGACCAATGGTGTCCAAGAGGTTGGCTGTGAGTCAGTAGTGTCCCTTCTCAGTCCCCAAGAAGACCAACGGTGGCCAACAGTGTTCCCTGGTGGCCAAGAGGTTCTGTGCGAGTCTCTATGGTGTGTTTTGGTGGCCAAGAAGGCCAACGGTGGCCAACAGGTTGGCTGTGAGTCCCCAAGAAGCCCAATGGTGGCCAACAATGTGCCCAGGTGGCCAAGAAGGCCAACAGTGGCCAAGAGGTTCCCTGTGAATCTCTATTGAGTGTTTTGGTGGCCAAAAAGGCCAGTGGTGGCCGACAGGTTGGCTGTGAGTCCCCAAGAAGCCCAATGGTGGCCAACAATGTGCCCAGGTGGCCAAGAAGGCCAACGGTGGCCAAGAGGTTTGCTGTCAGTCAGTAGTGTCCCTTCCCAGTCCTCAAGGAGGCCAGTGATGGCCAACAGTGAACCCAGGTGGCCAAGAAGGCCAACGGTGGCCAAGAGATTGGCTGTGAGTCAGTAGTGTCCCTTCCCAGACCCCAAAAAGGCCAATGGTGGCCAATAATGTGCCCAGGCGGTCAAGAAGGCCAACGGTGGCCAAGAGGTTGGCTGTCAGTCAGTAGTGTCCCCTCTCAGTCCCCAAGAAGACCAATGGTGGCCAACAGTGTTCCCTGGTGGCCAAGAGGTTCCCTGTGAGTCTCCATGGTGTGTTTTGGTGGCCAAGAAGGCCAGTGGTGGCCAACAGGTTGGCTGTGAGTCCCCAAGAAGCCCAATGGTGGCCAACAATGTGCCCAGGTGGCCAAGAAGGCCAACGGTGGCCAAGAGGTTGGCTGTCAGTCAGTAGTGTCCATTCCCAGTCCTCAAGGAGGCCAGTGATGGCCAACAGTGAACCCAGGTGGCCAAGAAGGCCAACGGTGGCCAAGAGGTTGGCTGTGAGTCCCCAAGAAGCCCAATGGTGGCCAACAATGTGCCCAGGTGGCCAAGAAGACCAACGGTGGCCAAGAGGTTGGCTGTGAGTCAGTAGTGTCCCTTCCCAGACCCCAAGAAGACCAACGGTGGCCAACAGTGTTCCCTGGTGGCCAAGAAGTCCAATATTGGCCAAGAGGTTCCCTGTGAGTCTCTATGGTGTGTTTTGGTGGCCAGTAGTGGCCAGGAGTTTCACTGAGTCTCTATGGTGTGTTTTGGTGGCCAAGAAGGCCAACGGTGGCCAAGAGGTTGGCTGTGAGTCCTCAAGAAGCCCAGTGGTGGCCAACAATGTGCCCAGGTGGCCAAGAAGGCCAACAGTGGCCAAGAGGCTCCCTGTGAATTTCTATTGAATGTTTTGGTGGCCAAGAAGGCCAACGGTGGCCTAGAGGTTGGCTGTCAGTCAGTAGTGTCAATTCCCAGACCCCAAGAAGGCCAACGGTGGCCAAGAGGCTCCCTGTGAATCTCTATTGAGTGTTTTGGTGGCCAAGAAGGCCAGTGGTGGCCAACAGGTTGGCTGTGAGTCCCCCAGAAGCCCAGTGGTGGCCAACAGTGTGCCCAGGTGGCCAAGAAGTCCAATATTGGCCAAGAGGTTCCCTGTGAGTCTCTATTGAGTGTTTTGGTGGCCAAGAAGGCCTACGGTGGCCAAGAGGTTGGCTGTCAGTCAGTAGTGTCCCTTCCCAGATCCCAAGAAGGCCAACGGTGGCCAACAGTGTTCCCTGGCGGCCAAGAGGTTCCCTCTGAGTCTCTATGGTGTGTTTTTGTGGCCAACAGGTTGGCTGTCACTCAGTAGTGTCCCTTCCCAGACCCCAAGAAGCCCAATGGTGGCCAACAGTGTTCCCTGGTGGCCAGGAGGTTCCCTGTGAGTCTCTATGGTGTGTTTTGGTGGCCAAGAAGGCCAACGGTGGCCAACAGGTTGGCTGTGAGTCCCCAAGAAGCCCAATGGTGGCCAACAATGTGCCCAGGTGGCCAAGAAGGCCAACGGTGTCCAAGAGGTTCCCAGTGAGCCACTGGTCTCCCTTCCCTCTCCCTAAGAAGGCCAACAGTGAACCCAGGTGGCCAAGAGGCTCCCTGTGAGTCTCTATGGTGTGTTTTGATGGCCAAGATGGCTGGCAGTGGCCAAGTGTTTGTGAGTCAGTAGTGTCCCTTCTCACTCTCTAAGAAGGACGATGGTGGCCAACAGTGTTCCCTGGTGGCCAAGAAGTCCAATATTGGCCAAGAGGTTCCCTGTGAGTCTCTATGGTGTGTTTTGGTGGCCAGGAAGGCCAACAGTGGCCAAGAGGCTCCCTGTGAGTCTCTATTGAGTGTTTTGGTGGCCAAGAAGGCCAACGGTGTCCAAGAGGTTGGCTGTGAGTCAGTTGTGTCCCTTCCCAGACCCCAAGAAGACCAACGGTGGCCAACAGTGTTCCCTGGTGGCCAAGAAGGCCAACAGTGGCCAAGAGGTTCCCTGTGAGTCTCCATGGTGTGTTTTGGTGGACAAGAAGGCCAAGAGTGGCCAACAGGTTGGCTGTGAGTCCCCAAGAAGCCCAATGGTGGCCAACAATGTGCCCAGGTGGCCAAGAAGGCCAACAGTGGCCAAGAGGTTCCCTGTGAGTCTCTATGGTGTGTTTTGGTGGCCAAGAAGGCCAACAGTGGCCAAGAGGTTCCCTGTGTCTCCATGGTGTGTTTTGGTGGCCAAGAAGGCCAACGGTGGCCAACAGGTTGGCTGTGAGTCCTCAAGAAGCCCAATGGTGGCCAACAATGTGCCCAGGTGGCCAAGAAGGCCAACGGTGTTTAAGAGGTTTGCTGTCAGTCAGTAGTGTCCCTTCCCAGACCCCAAGAAGACCAACGGTGGCCAACAGTGTTCCCTGGTGGCCAAGAGGTTCCCTGTGAGTCTCTATGGTGTGTTTTGGTGGGCAAGAAGGCCAAGGGTGGCCAACAGGTTGGCTGTGAGGCCTCAAGAAGCCCAATGGTGGCCAACAATGTGCCCAGGTGGCCAGGAAGTCCAGTATTGGCCAAGAGGCTCCCTGTGAATTTCTATTGAATGTTTTGGTGGCCAAGAAGGCCAACGGTGGCCTAGAGGTTGGCTGTCACTCAGTAGTGTCAATTCCCAGACCCCAAGAAGCCCAATGGTGGCCAACAATGTTCCCAGGCGGTCAAGAAGGCCAACAGTGGCCAAGAGGTTCCCTGTGAGTCTCTATGGTGTGTTTTGGTGCCAAAAAAGGACCAATGGTGGCCCAGAGGTTGGCTGTGAGTCAGTAGTGTCCCTTCCCAGACCCCAAGAAGGCCAACGGTGGCCAACAGTGTTCCCTGGTGGCCAAGAGGTTCACTGTGAGTCTCTATTGTGTGTTTTGGTGGCTAAGAAGGCCAACGGTGGCCAAGAGGTTGGCTGTGAGTCCCCAAGAAGCCCAATGGTGTCCAACAATGTGCCCAGGTGGCCAAGAAGACCAACAGTGGCCAAGAGGTTGGCTGTCAGTCAGTAGTGTCCATTCCCAGACCCCAAAAAGGCCAATGGTGGCCAGCAGTGTTCCCTGGTGGCCAAGAAGGCCAACGGTGGCCAAGAGGTTCCCTGTGAGTCTCCATGGTGTGTTTTGGTGGCCAGTAGTGACCAGGAGTTTCACTGAGTCTCTATGGTGTGTTTTGGTGGCCAAGAAGGCCAACAGTGGCCAAGAGGTTGGCTGTCAGTCAGTAGTGTCCCTTCCCAGACCCCAAGAAAGCCAGTGGTGGCCAACAGTGTTCCCTGGTGGCCAAGAGGTTCCCTGTGAGTCTCTACGGTGTGTTTTGGTGGCCAAGAAGGCCAACGGTGGCCAACAGGTTGGCTGTGAGTCCCCAAGAAGCCCAATGGTGGCCAACAATGTGCCCAGGTGGCCAAGAAGGCCAACAGTGGCCAAGAGGTTTGCTGTCAGTCAGTAGTGTCCCTTCCCAAACCCCAAGAAGGCCAACGGTGGCCAACAGGTTGGCTGTGAGTCCCCCAGAAGCCCAGTGGTGGCCAACAATGTGCCCAGGTGGCCAAGAAGTTCAATATTGGCCAAGAGGTTCCCTGTGAGTCTCTATGGTGTGTTTTGGTGGCCAGGAAGGCCAATGGTGGCCAAGAGGTTCCCTGTGAGTCCTCAAGAAGCCCAATGGTGGCCAACAATTTGCCCAGGTGGCCAAGAAGGCCAACAGTGGCCAAGAGGTTCCCTGTGAGTCTCTATTGAGTGTTTTGGTGGCCAAGAAGGCCAACGGTGGCCAACAGGTTGGCTGTGAGTCCCCAAGAAGCCCAATGGTGGCCAACAGTGTGCCCAGGTGGCCAAGAAGGCCAACGGTGTTCAAGAGGTTGGCTGTCAGTCAGTAGTGTCCCTTCTCAGTCCCCAAGAAGGCCAATGGTGGCCAACAGTGTTCCCTGGTGGCCAAGAAGTCCAGTATTGGCCAAGAGGCTCCCTGTGAGTCTCTATTGAGTGTTTTGGTGGCCAAGAAGGTCAAAGGTGGCCAACAGGTTGGCTGTGAGTCCCCCAGAAGCCCAATGGTGGCCAACAATGTGCCCAGGTGGCCAAGAAGTCCAATATTGGCCAAGAGGTTCCCTGTGAGTCTCCATGGTGTGTTCTGGTGGCCAGGAAGGCCAATGGTGTCTAAGAGGTTCCCAGTGAGCCACTGGTCTCCCTTCCCTCTCCCTAAGAAGGCCAACATTGAACCCAGGTGGCCAAGAGGTTCCCTGTGAGTCTCTATTGAGTGTTTTGGTGGCCAAAAAGGCCAATGGTGGCCAACAGGTTGGCTGTGAGTCCCCCAGAAGCCCAGTGGTGGCCAACAGTGTGCCCAGGTGGCCAAGAAGTCCAATATTGGCCAAGAGGTTCTGTGTGAGTCTCCATGGTGTGTTCTGGTGGCCAAGAAGGCCAACGGTGGCCAAGAGGTTGGCTGTGAGTCCCCAAGAAGCCCAATGGTGGCCAACAATGTGCCCAGGTGGCCAAGAAGGCCAACGGTGGCCAAGAGGTTGGCTGTGAGTCCCCCAGAAGCTCAATGATGGCCAACAATGTGCCCAGGTGGCCAAGAAGGCCAACAGTGGCCAAGAGGTTCCCTGTGAGTCTCTATTGAGTGTTTTGGTGCCAAAAAAGGACCAATGGTGGCCCAGAGGTTGGCTGTCAGTCAGAAGTGTCCCTTCTCAGTCCCCATGAAGGCCAACAGTGGCCAACAGTGAACCAAGGTGGCCAAGAGGCTCTCTGTGAGTCTCTACAGTGTGTTTTGGTGGCCAAAAAGGCCAATGGTGGCCGACAGGTTGGCTGTGAGTCCCCCAGAAGCCCAATGGTGGCCAACAATGTGCCCAGGTGGCCAAGAAGTCCAATATTGGCCAAGAGGTTCCCTGTGAGTCTCCATGTTGTGTTCTGGTGGCCAGGAAGGGCAACGGTGTCCAAGAGGCTCCCAGTGAGCCACTGGTCTCCCTTCCCTCTCCCTAAGAAGGCCGACATTGAACCCAGGTGGCCAAGAGGCTCCCTGTGAGTCTCTATTGAGTGTTTTGGTGGCCAAGAAGGCCAACAGTGGCCAAGAGGCTCCCTGTGAGTCAGTAGTGTCCCTTCCCAGACCCCAAGAAGGCCAATGGTGGCCAAGAGGTTGGCTGTGAGTCCCCCAGAAGCCCAATGGTGGCCAACAATGTGCCCAGGTGTCCAAGAGGCTCCCAGTGAGCCACTGGTCTCCCTTCCCTCTCCCTAAGAAGGCCGACATTGAACCCAGGCGGCCTCGCGGCTCCCTGCGCGCCTCTGTGCCGCGTTTCGGTGGCCATGAAGCCCCCCGCTGCCCCTCAGCCTCTCCTGTTTCCCTCGCAGGACCCAGGGGCGGCCGCCGCCTGGCAGCGGACGCGATTGCGGCTGCGTACCACGCCGGGCTGTCGGCGGCCGAGCGGCGCCGCGTCCAATGGGCCTTCATGAGCGGCCGCCTCCGCGTGGTTGTGGCCACGGTGGCTTTTGGGATGGGTTTGGACAAAGCGGACGTTCGTGCCGTGCTGCATTACAACATGCCCAGGAATTTTGAGAGTTACGTGCAGGAAATCGGCCGAGCCGGCAGGGATGGAGAGCCGGCGTGGTGTCACCTCTTCCTGGACCCCGAGGTGGGGGGGCGGAGGGGGGGGGGGGGGGGGCGTCGGGGTGGGGAGGTGCCCTAAAATGGATGGGTTTCTTAATGCTGAGTATGGAGGGATTTGGGGGTGATTTGGGGGGGGACACAGGGAGCCATGAAAGCTTTTGGGGTGATTTGGGGTGACACCAGGAAGCCCGAAAGGTGTTGAGGATGATTTGGGGTGACGCAAGGAGTCCTAAAAGGCATTGGGAGGATGTTGGGGTGACGCAGAGAGTCCTATAAGGTGTGAAGGACAATTTGGGGTGACAGGAGGAGTCCTAAAAGGCACTGGGAGGATTTTGGGGTGATGCAAGGAGTCCTAAAGGGTTTTGGGAGGATTTCGGGGTGACCCAAGGAATCCCAAAAGGTGTTGAGGATGATTTGGGGTGACGCAAGGAGTCCTAAAAGGTTTTGGGAGGTCTTTGGGGTGACCCAAGAAATCCTAAAAGGTGTTGGGGACGATTTGGGGTGATGCAAGGAGTCCTAAAAGACACTGGAACGTCTTTGGGGTGACATTGGGAACCTTAAAAGGTGTCAGGGACGATTTGGGGTGACAGGAGGAGTCCTAAAAGGCATTGGGAGGATTTTGGGGTGACGCAGGGAGTCCTAAAGGGTTTTGGGAGGTCTGTGGGGTGACATTGGGAACCTTAAAAGGTGTTGAGGATGATTTGGGGTGACACAAGGAGTCCTAAAAGACACTGGAACGTCTTTGGGGTGACATTGGAGAGTCCTAAAAGGTGTCAGGGACGATTTGGGGTGACACAGGGAGTCCTAAAAGGTGCTGGGAGGTCTTTGGGGTGACCCAAGGAATCCTAAAAGGTGTTGGGGACAATTTGGGGTGACACAAGGAGTCCTAAAAGGCACTGGGAGGTCTTTGGGGTGACGCAGGGAGTCCTAAAGGGTTTTGGGAGGTCTGTGGGGTGACACAAGGAATCCCAAAAGGTGCTGGGGGGTCTTTGGGGTGACGTGGAGAGTCCTAAAAGGTATCGGGACGATTTGGGGTGACACAGGGAATCCTAAAAGCTTTTGGAGGTCTTTGGGGTGACATTGGGAACCTTAAAAGGTGTCAGGGACGATTTGGGGTGACAGGAGGAGTCCTAAAAGGTGCTGGGAGGTCTTTGGGGTGACCCAAGGAATCCTAAAAGGTGTTGGGGACGATTTGGGGTGACGCAGGGAGTCCTAAAAGGCTTTGGGATGATTTGAGGTGACACGAGGAATCCCAAAAGGTGTTGAGGATGATTTGGGGTGACACAGGGAGTCCTAAAAGGCTTTGGGAGGTCTTTGGGGTGACCCAAGAAATCCTAAAAGGTGTTGGGGACGATTTGGGGTGACACAAGGAGTCCTAAAAGACACTGGAACGTCTTTGGGGTGACATTGGGAACCTTAAAAGGTGTCAGGGACGATTTGGGGTGACAGGAGGAGTCCTAAAAGGTGCTGGGAGGTCTTTGGGGTGGCCCAAGGAATCCTAAAAGGTGTTGAGGATGATTTGGGGTGACACAAGGAGTCCTAAAAGGCATTGGGAGGATTTTGGGGTGACGCAAGGAGTCCTAAAAGGCATTGGGAGGATTTTGGGGTGATGCAGAGAGTCCTAAAAGGCATTGGGAGGATTTTGGGGTGACGCAGGGAGTCCTAAAGGGTTTTGGGAGGTCTGTGGGGTGACAAAAGGAACCTTAAAAGGTGTTGAGGATGATTTGGGGTGACACAAGGAGTCCCAAAAGGTGCTGGGGGGTCTTTGGGGTGACGTGGAGAGTCCTAAAAGGTATCGGGACAATTTGGGGTGACACAGGGAGTCCTAAAAGGTGCTGGGAGGTCTTTGGGGTGACCCAAGAAATCCTAAAAGGTGTTGGGGACGATTTGGGGTGATGCAAGGAGTCCTAAAAGGCATTGGGAGGATTTTGGGGTGACGCAGGGAGTCCTAAAGGGTTTTGGGAGGATTTTGGGGTGACCCAAGGAATCCCAAAAGGTGTTGAGGATGATTTGGGGTGACACAGGGAGTCCTAAAAGGTGCTGGGAGGTCTTTGGGGTGACCCAAGGAATCCTAAAAGGTGTTGGGGACGATTTGGGGTGACACAAGGAGTCCTAAAAGGCATTGGGAGGATTTTGGGGTGACACAGGGAGTCCTAAAGGGTTTTGGGAGGATTTTGGGGTGACACAAGGAATCCCAAAAGGTGCTGGGGGGTCTTTGGGGTGACGTGGAGAGTCCTAAAAGATATCGGGACAATTTGGGGTGACCCTGGGAATCCTAAAAGCTACCAGAAGGTCTTTGAGGTGACGCTGGGAACCCTAAAAGATGTTGAGGAGTTTTAGGGGAGTCCTAAACCCCAATAGGGCGGCATGTTTGGAGGCACACAGGAAACCCTAAAAGCCACCGGGGTGCCTTTGGGGAACCCTGAAAGGCTTTGGGGCCCCCTGCCATCCATCCGCAGGGCTCCGACCGGCTCGAGCTGCGGCGCCACATCTTCGCCGACGCCGTGGACTTTTTCACCATCAAGAAATTGGTGCAGGCCGCCTTTCCGCCCTGCAAATGCCGGGAGCTGCACCGGCGCCGCTGCGCCCTCAGCGGGGTGAGAGGGAAACGATGGGGTGTTGGTGGTGTGGGTCAGCTGGGGGGGTCGCCTTGGGCTTGGGGGGAACCCGAGGGTTGGCTGATGGGCGCCCTCCTGTGGGCATGGGTTGGAATTGGCCATCCCATAATGCATTGCAGTTCAATGGCCATAGGTTGGAATTGGCCATCCCATAATGGATAACACCCTCCTATGGCCACTGGTTGGAATTGGCCACCCCATAATTCCAGGCCCTCCTATGGCCGTGGGTTGGAATAGGCCATCCCATAATGCACTGCAACTCAGTGGCCATTGAGTGGAATTGCCCTTCCCATAATTCCTCAGGCCCTCCTATGGCCATGGGTTGGAATTGGCCATCCCATAATTCCAGGCCCTCCTATGGCCATGGGTTGGAATTGGCCATCCCATAATTCCAGGCCCTCCTATAGCCATAGGTTGGAATTGGCCATCCCATAATTCCTCAGGCCCTCCTATGGGCATGGGTTGGAATTGGCCATCCCATAATGCACTGCGACTCAGTGGCCATGGGTTGGAATTGGCCATCCCATAATGCATTGCAGTTCAATGGCCATAGGTTGGAATTGGCCATCCCATAATTCATCAGGCCCTGCTATGGCCATGGGTTGGAATTGGCCATCCCATAATGCATTGTAGCTCAATGGCCATTGGTTACAACGGGCCTCCCATAATGCATTGTGGTTCAAAGGCCATTGGTTTGAATGGGCCAGTCCTGCATTGTGGCTCAATTGCCATTGGTTTGAGTGGGCCCTCCCATAATGCACTGCGGCTCAGCAGCCTTTAGTGGGAGTTGGCCATCCCATAATGCATTGCAGCTCAATGGCCATTGGTTACAACGGACCTCCCTTAATGCATTCCGGCTCAACGGCCATTGGTTTAAATGGGCCATCCCATAATGTGTTGTGGCTGAATGGCCATTGATTGCAATGGGCCATCCCATAATGCATTGCGGCTCAACGGCCATCGGTTTGAATAGGCCATCCCATGATGCACTGTGGTTCAAAGGCCATTGGTTTGAATGGGCCATCCCATAATGCATTGCGGCCCAAAGGCTGTTGATTTGGATGGGCCCTCCCATCATGCATTGCAGCTCGATGGCCATTGGTTACAACGGGCCTCCCATAATGCATTGTGGTTCAAAGGCCAGTGGTCTGAATGGGCCATTCCTGAATTGTGGCTCAGTTGCCATTGGTTTGAATGGCCCTCCCATAATGCATTGTGGTTCAAAGGCCATTGGTTTGAATGGCCATCCCATAATGCATTGTGGTTCAAAGGCCATTGGTTTGAATGGCCATCCCATAATGCATTGTGGTTCAAAGGCCATCGGTTTGAATGGGCCATTCCATAATGCATTGTGGTTCAAAGGCCATTGGTTTGAATGGGCCATCCCATAATGCATTGTGGTTCAAAGGCCATCGGTTTAAGTGGGCCCTCCCATAATGCATTGTGGTTCAAAGGCCATCGGTTTGAATGGGCCATCCCATAATGCATTGTGGTTCAAAGGCCATCGGTTTGAATGGGCCCTCCCATAATGCATTGTGGTTCAAAGGCCATCGGTTTGAATGGGCCATTCCATAATGCATTGTGGTTCAAAGGCCATTGGTCTGAATGGGCCATCCCATAATGCATTGTGGTTCAAAGGCCATCAGTTTGAATGGGCCATCCCATAATGCATTGTGGTTCAAAGGCCATCGGTTTAAGTGGGCCCTCCCATAATGCATTGTAGCTCAATGGCCATTGGTTTGAGTGGGCCCTCCCATAATGCATTGTGGTTCAAAGGCCATCGGTTTGAATGGCCATCCCACGATGCATTGTGGTTCAAAGGCCATTGGTTTGAATGGGCCATCCCACGATGCATTGCGGCTCAGCGGCCATTGGTTTGAATGGGGAGGTCCTGGAAGGGCAGTGGGGATTGAACGGCCGTCCCGCCATGCGTTGTGCCTCAGTTGCCATTGGTTTGAGCGGGCCCTCCCATAATGCATTGCGGCTCAGCGGCCATTGGCTGGAAATGGGCCTCCCATAACGCACTGCGGCTGAGCGGCGCCGTCCCCGGTAGGGAGCGGATGTGAGCGACCAAGAAATGGCCGCCATCATGGTGGAGGAGGACGGCGGGACGGCGGAGGGGGGGGAGCAGCAGCGCCTCTGCTACAAACATGAGAGGGCCATCGATGTGCAAGGCATTGTGGGAGAGATGGACCTGAGGGAGGAGGGTGAGCGGGAAGGTCCTGGAAGGGGAGTGGGAGTGAATGGGAGGTCCTGGAAGGGGAGTGGGAGTGAATGGGGAGGTCCTGGAAGGGGAGTGGGAGTGAATGGGAGTCCTGGAAGGGGAGTGGGAGTGAATGGGGAGGTCCTGGAAGGGGAGTGGGAGTGAATGGGGAGGTCCTGGAAGGGGAGTGGGAGTGAATGGGAGGTCCTGGAAGGGGAGTGGGAGTGAATGGGGAGGGCCTGGAAGGGGAGTGGGAGTGAATGGGGAGGGCCTGGAAGGGGAGTGGGAGTGAATGGGAGGTCCTGGAAGGGGAGTGGGAGTGAATGGGAGATCCTGGAAGGGGAGTGGGAGTGGAGGGGGAGGTCCTGGAAGGGGAGTGGGAGTGAATGGGAGGTCCTGGAAGGGGAGTGGGAGTGGAGGGGGAGGTCCTGGAAGGGGAGTGGGAGTGAATGGGAGGTCCTGGAAGGGGAGTGGGAGTGAATGGGGAGGTCCTGGAAGGGGAGTGGGAGTGAATGGGGAGGGACTGGAAGGGGAGTGGGATTGAATGGGAGGTCCTGGAAGGGGAGTGGGAGTGAATGGGAGGTCCTGGAAGGGGAGTGGGAGTGAATGGGAGATCCTGGAAGGGGAGTGGGAGTGGAGGGGGAGGTCCTGGAAGGGGAGTGGGAGTGAATGGGAGGTCCTGGAAGGGGAGTGGGAGTGGAGGGGGAGGTCCTGGAAGGGGAGTGGGAGTGAATGGGGAGGGCCTGGAAGGGGAGTGGGAGTGAATGGGGAGGTCCTGGAAGGGGAGTGGGAGTGAATGGGAGGTCCTGGAAGGGGAGTGGGAGTGAATGGGGAGGGCCTGGAAGGGGAGTGGGAGTGAATGGGAGGTCCTGGAAGGGGAGTGGGAGTGAATGGGGAGGTCCTGGAAGGGGAGTGGGAGTGAATGGGAGGTCCTGGAAGGGGAGTGGGAGTGAATGGGGAGGGCCTGGAAGGGGAGTGGGAGTGAATGGGGAGGTCCTGGAAGGGGAGTGGGAGTGAATGGGGAGGTCCTGGAAGGGGAGTGGGAGTGAATGGGGAGGGCCTGGAAGGGGAGTGGGAGTGAATGGGGAGGGCCTGGAAGGGGAGTGGGAGTGAATGGGAGGTCCTGGAAGGGGAGTGGGAGTGAATGGGAGGTCCTGGAAGGGGAGTGGGAGTGAATGGGGAGGGACTGGAAGGGGAGTGGGAGTGAATGGGAGGTCCTGGAAGGGGAGTGGGAGTGAATGGGAGGTCCTGGAAGGGGAGTGGGAGTGAATGGGGAGGGACTGGAAGGGGAGTGGGAGTCAATGGGAGGTCCTGGAAGGGGAGTGGGATTGAATGGGAGGTCCTGGAAGGGGAGTGGGAGTGAATGGGGAGGTCCTGGAAGGGGAGTGGGAGTGAATGGGAGGTCCTGGAAGGGGAGTGGGAGTGAATGGGGAGGTCCTGGAAGGGGAGTCGGATTGAATGGGAGGTCCTGGAAGGGGAGTGGGAGTGAATGGGGAGGTCCTGGAAGGGGAGTGGGATTGAATGGGGAGGTCCTGGAAGGGGAGTGGGAGTGAATGGGAGGTCCTGGAAGGGGAGTGGGAGTGAATGGGGAGGTCCTGGAAGGGGAGTCGGAGTGAATGGGAGGTCCTGGAAGGGGAGTGGGAGTGAATGGGAGGTCCTGGAAGGGGAGTGGGAGTGAATGGGGAGGTCCTGGAAGGGGAGTGGGAGTGAATGGGAGGTCCTGGAAGGGGAGTGGGAGTGAATGGGAGGTCCTGGAAGGGGAGTGGGAGTGAATGGGAGGTCCTGGAAGGGGAGTGGGAGTGAATGGGGAGGGCCTGGAAGGGGAGTGGGAGTGAATGGGGAGGTCCTGGAAGGGGAGTGGGAGTGAATGGGAGGTCCTGGAAGGGGAGTGGGAGTGAATGGGAGGTCCTGGAAGGGGAGTGGGAGTGAATGGGAGGTCCTGGAAGGGGAGTGGGAGTGAATGGGGAGGGCCTGGAAGGGGAGTGGGAGTGAATGGGAGGTCCTGGAAGGGGAGTGGGAGTGAATGGGGAGGTCCTGGAAGGGGAGTGGGAGTGAATGGGAGGTCCTGGAAGGGGAGTGGGAGTGGAGGGGGAGGTCCTGGAAGGGGAGTGGGAGTGAATGGGAGGTCCTGGAAGGGGAGTGGGAGTGAATGGGAGGTCCTGGAAGGGGAGTGGGAGTGAATGGGAGGTCCTGGAAGGGGAGTGGGAGTGAATGGGAGGTCCTGGAAGGGGAGTGGGAGTGAATGGGAGGTCCTGGAAGGGGAGTGGGATTGAATGGGGAGGTCCTGGAAGGGGAGTGGGAGTGAATGGGGAGGTCCTGGAAGGGGAGTGGGAGTGAATGGGAGGTCCTGGAAGGGGAGTGGGAGTGAATGGGAGGTCCTGGAAGGGGAGTGGGAGTGAATGGGGAGGTCCTGGAAGGGGAGTGGGAGTGAATGGGAGGTCCTGGAAGGGGAGTGGGAGTGAATGGGGAGGTCCTGGAAGGGGAGTCGGATTGAATGGGAGGTCCTGGAAGGGGAGTGGGAGTGAATGGGGAGGTCCTGGAAGGGGAGTGGGATTGAATGGGGAGGTCCTGGAAGGGGAGTGGGAGTGAATGGGAGGTCCTGGAAGGGGAGTGGGAGTGAATGGGGAGGTCCTGGAAGGGGAGTGGGAGTGAATGGGAGGTCCTGGAAGGGGAGTGGGAGTGAATGGGAGGTCCTGGAAGGGGAGTGGGAGTGAATGGGGAGGGCCTGGAAGGGGAGTGGGAGTGAATGGGAGGTCCTGGAAGGGGAGTGGGAGTGAATGGGGAGGGCCTGGAAGGGGAGTGGGAGTGAATGGGGAGGTCCTGGAAGGGGAGTGGGAGTGAATGGGGAGGTCCTGGAAGGGGAGTGGGAGTGAATGGGAGGTCCTGGAAGGGGAGTGGGAGTGAATGGGAGGTCCTGGAAGGGGAGTGGGAGTGAATGGGAGGTCCTGGAAGGGGAGTGGGAGTGAATGGGGAGGGACTGGAAGGGGAGTGGGAGTCAATGGGAGGTCCTGGAAGGGGAGTGGGATTGAATGGGAGGTCCTGGAAGGGGAGTGGGAGTGAATGGGGAGGTCCTGGAAGGGGAGTGGGAGTGAATGGGAGGTCCTGGAAGGGGAGTGGGAGTGAATGGGGAGGTCCTGGAAGGGGAGTCGGATTGAATGGGAGGTCCTGGAAGGGGAGTGGGAGTGAATGGGGAGGTCCTGGAAGGGGAGTGGGATTGAATGGGGAGGTCCTGGAAGGGGAGTGGGAGTGAATGGGAGGTCCTGGAAGGGGAGTGGGAGTGAATGGGAGGTCCTGGAAGGGGAGTGGGAGTGAATGGGAGGTCCTGGAAGGGGAGTGGGAGTGAATGGGGAGGTCCTGGAAGGGGAGTCGGAGTGAATGGGAGGTCCTGGAAGGGGAGTGGGAGTGAATGGGAGGTCCTGGAAGGGGAGTGGGAGTGAATGGGGAGGTCCTGGAAGGGGAGTGGGAGTGAATGGGAGGTCCTGGAAGGGGAGTGGGAGTGAATGGGAGGTCCTGGAAGGGGAGTGGGAGTGAATGGGAGGTCCTGGAAGGGGAGTGGGAGTGAATGGGGAGGGCCTGGAAGGGGAGTGGGAGTGAATGGGGAGGTCCTGGAAGGGGAGTGGGAGTGAATGGGAGGTCCTGGAAGGGGAGTGGGAGTGAATGGGAGGTCCTGGAAGGGGAGTGGGAGTGAATGGGAGGTCCTGGAAGGGGAGTGGGAGTGAATGGGGAGGGCCTGGAAGGGGAGTGGGAGTGAATGGGAGGTCCTGGAAGGGGAGTGGGAGTGAATGGGGAGGTCCTGGAAGGGGAGTGGGAGTGAATGGGGAGGTCCTGGAAGGGGAGTGGGAGTGAATGGGAGGTCCTGGAAGGGGAGTGGGAGTGGAGGGGGAGGTCCTGGAAGGGGAGTGGGAGTGAATGGGAGGTCCTGGAAGGGGAGTGGGAGTGAATGGGAGGTCCTGGAAGGGGAGTGGGAGTGAATGGGAGGTCCTGGAAGGGGAGTGGGAGTGAATGGGAGGTCCTGGAAGGGGAGTGGGAGTGAATGGGAGGTCCTGGAAGGGGAGTGGGATTGAATGGGGAGGTCCTGGAAGGGGAGTGGGAGTGAATGGGGAGGTCCTGGAAGGGGAGTGGGAGTGAATGGGAGGTCCTGGAAGGGGAGTGGGAGTGAATGGGAGGTCCTGGAAGGGGAGTGGGAGTGAATGGGGAGGTCCTGGAAGGGGAGTGGGAGTGAATGGGAGGTCCTGGAAGGGGAGTGGGAGTGAATGGGGAGGTCCTGGAAGGGGAGTCGGATTGAATGGGAGGTCCTGGAAGGGGAGTGGGAGTGAATGGGGAGGTCCTGGAAGGGGAGTGGGATTGAATGGGGAGGTCCTGGAAGGGGAGTGGGAGTGAATGGGAGGTCCTGGAAGGGGAGTGGGAGTGAATGGGGAGGTCCTGGAAGGGGAGTGGGAGTGAATGGGAGGTCCTGGAAGGGGAGTGGGAGTGAATGGGAGGTCCTGGAAGGGGAGTGGGAGTGAATGGGGAGGGCCTGGAAGGGGAGTGGGAGTGAATGGGAGGTCCTGGAAGGGGAGTGGGAGTGAATGGGGAGGGCCTGGAAGGGGAGTGGGAGTGAATGGGGAGGTCCTGGAAGGGGAGTGGGAGTGAATGGGGAGGTCCTGGAAGGGGAGTGGGAGTGAATGGGAGGTCCTGGAAGGGGAGTGGGAGTGAATGGGGAGGTCCTGGAAGGGGAGTGGGAGTGAATGGGAGGTCCTGGAAGGGGAGTGGGAGTGAATGGGGAGGGCCTGGAAGGGGAGTGGGAGTGAATGGGAGGTCCTGGAAGGGGAGTGGGAGTGAATGGGGAGGTCCTGGAAGGGGAGTGGGAGTGAATGGGAGGTCCTGGAAGGGGAGTGGGAGTGGAGGGGGAGGTCCTGGAAGGGGAGTGGGAGTGAATGGGAGGTCCTGGAAGGGGAGTGGGATTGAATGGGGAGGTCCTGGAAGGGGAGTGGGAGTGAATGGGGAGGTCCTGGAAGGGGAGTG